ATTTGTCCGTCTAAAAAATGCGCTGAATATGCGTTCTGTGTGAATGGCTTGGTTTCGGTTTTAACCCATTCAATATCTTCTCCGCATTGAGCTACTATGTTTCTCTAATATTTTGAATGAATAACGCAGCAGCGGCGCGTCTCGTGGGCTAGGCTAACAAAACATTAAAATGCAACAACGTCACTTTACATCATCAACGCATCTCGCGCGCCACTGATGACGCTCCCTGATGCACACCTAACATTCAAATGCAAATGTTTATTTTAAATATAAGTATATTTATATTTATAAATATAATATTTACTTTATTCACAATCTCCTCATCACAGGCAGGCACAGCACTTATTTCAGCATGTGTTCGTGTTTGTGAGTGCTGCGTGCGTCACTCATGGCACGTGCCTATATCGTGCGCTACATCGAACATTTTTCTATCGTTATCGAAGAAGGTGTAGCGTCGATAAATATCGATACCGTTTTATCGCCCAGGCCTACTATGAACCTGTCCAAGCGATTTATTTTATGTTGCTTGTCTGAATTATCGTATTTTATGAGATGATTCTTGTCATAATTACCGGTGGGATTTTCTTTGAACACCAACTTTGAGTTAACACTGACTTCGATAACTAGATATGTACATTTTCTAAAGAAAATGTGAGTGGAGCTTACCGTGGCGTAAAATGAGCCCACCCCCATGTCTCTATGACATTGTGATCCAGAGTTATGTTTGATGCAGAATTCCAATGCAAGTTACTATAGTTGGAAAAACATGTGCTCAGTTCCTTCACCATAGTATGTCTATGGGGCAACTTTGGGGGGCTCTTGCGCCCCAGGGGTACAACCTATACCCCATTGTGAGGTATGTTCTAGCACAGCTTGCCGGCCTCTTCAAATGTGGTGATCCACATGTTTCTACGAAATTCTTGGTCAACGCTACGACCCTGTCAAATTTGGTCAAAATGTTGTGTTTTCTATGGGATAGAAGTCTATGGGATTTTTCGCCAGATTTTTTGTTCGCTGTGCGGATGTGTTGAGCGGATTCTTTAACAGCTCTGATTGGCCATTGTGTTCACACACTCAACAGATCTGTCTGTGATTGGCTACAATGATCATCGCTTCATGCTCTTCACCGAGCGCTTACACAGATACACACGGGAGCGTTTGAAAGCCGCGTCTGTCAGTAGATCCATAATATATCTGCTCATAGACGTAGCCAATCACAGACATTTCTGTTTAGCGTGTGAACACAATGGCCAATCAGAGGTGTTTGAGAATCCACACAACAGTGAGAAATGCTGGTATCGTCACATTTTTACATTTTGAGTATGGACTGGTACCGACATCTGTACTTTTGACAACACTATTCGCAAACACCACTAATAATTACAGTTTCCTCCCAGCAGGATTTGAAGGCAGCATTTGTCACAAGCAGATATATCAATTCTTTAATCCCAAACAGGTGATGAGTCAGTGAATGAAGTGCTTGTGTCTTCCACAGGGTCGTTTACCAGTGAAATGGATGGCGCCTGAAGCTCTGTTCGACCGCATTTACACCCATCAGTGTGACGTGTACGCGCTTACACAGATACACACGGGAGCGTTTGAAAGCCGCGTCTGTCAGTGGATCCATAATATATCTGCTCATAGACGTAGCCAATCACAGACATTTGTGTTTAGCGTGTGAACACAATGGCCAATCAGAGGTGTTTGAGAATCCACACAACAGTGAGAAATGCTGGTATCGTCACATTTTTACATTTTGAGTATGGACTGGTACCGACATCTGTACTTTTGACAACACTATTCGCAAACACCACTAATAATTACAGTTTCCTCCCAGCAGGATTTGAAGGCAGCATTTGTCACAAGCAGATATATCAGTTCTTTAATCCCAAACAGGTGATGAGTCAGTGAATGAAGTGCTTGTGTCTTCCACAGGGTCGTTTACCAGTGAAATGGATGGCGCCTGAAGCTCTGTTCGACCGCATTTACACCCATCAGTGTGACGTGTACGTCTCAATATATTCTCTCAAACTCACTCACATACAAAATGCAGTTGTCTGTTAATAATGGTCATTCTTTGCATGTTAGGTGGTCTTTTGGGGTGTTGCTGTGGGAGATCTTTACTCTTGGCGGCTCACCGTATCCAGGTGTCCCTGTCGAGGAGCTCTTTAAACTGCTAAAGGAGGGCCACCGCATGGACCGCCCCTCCACGTGTACCCACGAACTGTAAGATTGTTTTAATGCTGTATCTTCAGTCATGATGCTAGAGGTTTCTTATTACAGTTGTTAAACCTGTGTTCCTTTTGCAGGTATATGATGATGAGAGATTGCTGGCATGCCATCCCATCTCAGAGACCCACGTTCAAACATCTGGTGGAGGATCTAGACCGCACCCTCTCTATGACGTCCAATCAGGTGAGCCAGAACCGTTTGATAATCCACAAATCAGCTTTCACTGCTTTACATGGCATTGTAACTCTGCTTCAAAAAAGCTGTTATTTTATCTAAATAATTTTAATTGTGACACTGCATAACAGCATAGAAATATTAAATAATTATGATACATTTTTATTATTCAGTGTTGTTATTATTCAGTAGTTTATTATTATTATTATTATCATCATCCAGTAATTAATAATTAGTTATTAATAATAATAGTAGTAATAATAATAATAGTTTGATCATCAATTATCATCATCAAGGATAATAAATTAAAAATAAATAAAAATAAAAATAATCCAATCCAATAATAAATATTATTAGTAGTAGTATTATTATTATCATCATCATCATCATTATTATTGTAGTTGTTCAGGGATTAATAATAAGTAAATAATGATAAATGATCAAATAATATTAACTTAATGACAATCTAATAACAAATATTATTAATAAATAATTTGTTGTTCTTCAGTAGTTGTAGTAGTAGTAGAAATAATAATTAGTATTTTTATTGTAGTAGTTCAATAATTAATAAGTGAATGATAATAAATTATGAAATAACACAATAACAAAATTAGTTGTTATTGAGTAGTTATTATTATTATTATTATTATTATTAAATAACTACTACTAATAATAATAATAATCATCATCATTAACAATAATAATACAAATAAATGACCAAATAATAATAACTATTATAATTATTCAATAATAATAAATTTCTCAACAACAGCAAAATACAGTAGTCAACATTTGAAGTGGATCCAAAAAGTTCATTAAAATTGTCCTAATACAAGAACGCGTTTTAGGTTTTAGGACAACTTTGATGAAAGGTCCACTTCAAATGTTGACTACTGTAATAATAATAATAATAATTTGTTGTTGTATTAACAACAATAATACATTTTCTGTGTATTTTACATTTTCAGGAGTATCTGGACCTCTCTGTGTCTCTGGACCAGTTTTCTCCAAATTTCCCCGACACACGCAGTTCTACGTGCTCTTCCGGTGAAGACTCTGTGTTCTCCCATGACCCCGGTGCTGATGAACCCTGCCTGCCCAAATTCCCCCCTCATCCCAACCGCGGAGTGGCGTTTAAAAAGCGCTGAGTTCACTCACATTCAGTTCCTCTCCAGTGTGCTACCCGGCTGGACCCATGAACTCTGGGAGACAATGCTTTGCCACATAGCACACTACAGAGCGGCCAAGAGCTGAAGAGCTCGGCATGGACTTCACATAATGAGATGCTAGATTCACACAGCTGGAAGAGAACAAACTGGGCCTTCACTGACCCCATTACCTGTTGTTGCTATAAAGCTACAGGGCACTTGAGCAGAAATGGTACACGTGTGTTTCTCAAGACTCGTCAATATGAAATATCCTCCTGCCATCTGTAGTAGAGCAAGCCTTGAAGACGTTACCATCATCGAATGAGGAACAGCTTGATGGATGCTGGGAGTGTTTATATAATAACAAAGACCTTTCTTTTGACCAAATTCGTAAGAAAATGTATTCCACTAAATGCTCTGCCCGAATGTATTTTAACAACGGGCACACAGTTTATCTGACTGACAGCCTTTCTTGTAAATACATCTAGAAATGTATAAATATGAATATATATTTACACTCTACCCTTATTTTTATTATACTGTTTGAATCGTGTTGCTTTTTGTACCAGGATGCGTTTATGTAGAACTTTTTGAAGTGTAGCTTTTTTTTTTTAAAGGGACAGTGAAAAACATCCATGAAAATTGTAGATGAAATTATATTATTAAGAGCTGATAGATGGCCAGTTTTGTTACTAAATGTTGTTGTCCTCTATCGTTGATGCAGCTTGGCAGAAGTGACTCAGAACTGCTGCTATCTTCCTGATGGTACTCAGTACAGCGTCAGACTTAAGCTATAATATATGAATTGAAAAGGTTCTCTTCTTCGCGTCTTAAGCAAGTCGATGCATTTTTTTGAAAGATCAAAGGAAAAAATGAAATTCTCGATGAACACAAATATATAAATCACCTAAA